TACTCTTTTAAAAGTAAGCTTGGGATATAAAGTAGTAATCTATTTATTTAAAAATTAAGTTTAATATTTATTCCAATTTACCTTTTGAGGTATAAAAGTTACTAATCTATTAGGCTTAACTTACTATTTTAGATGGGAAACTTACTTCCATAATTTTAGGTATTATTCTATTTAAGTGAATAGGTCCAACGACAAATCAAATGTTCGCTAAAAGTGGAACAATCTATTATATTAGGTAAAAACTATTTCGCTATCATAACTATCGTTACTAAAGCATCTATATCTATATGTATTACAGAGGGGGTTTTGGATAAGGAGCTTTCAAAATTGTCAAAGGTCTGAATGCTATTTTAATAGAATTTTACATTTTTATAATTAAGAAATGTTTATCTCTTAACTAATCATGTAACCGCTCCTACAAATCCTATAATCATGCTCATGTTTTTCCCACATTTTTCCACGTTTTTCTCACTAACCCATAAAATTCAAACTCCTAAACTTTAACTAATAGATAATAATCACCATTGTAAAATTCAAATCTCACATTTATTATTGACATTTATCAACTATTAATTTAAGAAATTTGCAACTATAAAAGTCAAATATTCAAAATTTAGGAGACTATTTAAATTACAATTTTCACAATTCAACGTATCTTATTGTCATAATATATTTTACTCTTACAATCATTCACAAATTATAAAGGGATGCAAAAAATAAATAACTTTTTTAATAAAAAATTAATTCAAAGGTAGTTAATTCACACACACACACACATATATACATATATATATTCTCATAATATAAACTAAAATTATAAAAAATTAGGAGGCTAACTTTGTTTTACACAATATGAATTAAAATTTTTAAAACTTTGGGAAGAGGGGACCTATGGCCCCCATTAGCCCCCTATTTGTTTTGAAGTGTTTGGATAGCATATTTTTTCAAATAATATTTCGCTTGCATCATAAACACATTTTTTAACCCACCTTTTTATATTTTCAATCACCTTTTTATCTTACATACATCACATCACAAAATGTACTATCGTAATTATTCCACATAATATTTCAAATAACACTCTATCCAAACAAATTTCAATAGCATCTTAATTTCAATATCATTTTTACTTTTCAAATTTACAGTTTTATCCGTGATTGTATAGCATTATGATATAGTAGTAATACAAAAGAAATACCATGTAAATGATGATAGTTTTTTTTCAAATAAACAAAGTGGTTTACGAATATTCCTATCTAGCGAGCAAAAGGGTAGTTAGGATATTTAAAAATCTTGCTACACAAACAACAAAAGTAAGGTATGTTAGTGATATTTTTAAAACTTTAGGGGTGTCAGGCGAAATGAAGAGAAACCTCAGGGGAGGTTTACAACATTGGTTTACTGAATACACTTATTTATGCCAATTATACTCTTTATACTAATTATATTTTTAAACTAAATTACTATTTATGCATATTTTAAAACTTCAAATTTAATTGCTATTAGCGAAATTATATTGATGTGTTTTTATACGAGTAGTATTTTATTATTTTGGATACTACTTTAATTAGAATTTAGTTTAAAGGCATTCACTGGAGTTTGGATGCATCCAGAGAGCACCGATCGATGTATCTTCATGCATAAATTGGAATAAATATGCAACTTAATTTTTTTTAAAAATAAATCACTACTCTATATCCGAAATTTACTTTTTGGAGAGTAGGTTTAGTTCATACTATTTTTCGTAGTATTTTAAAATATATAAGTACAAAAAAATTTTAAATTATACCTATAATCATGTATTATACGAGTATATTATGAATACTTACTAACTAAGGTATTAAACTTTAATCATTGATAAAACATCTTATCATTATTTCAAATAAACTTCCTAATACTAGTTTGAGATAAGTTTTAAAGTAAAATAGTACATGTGTCCTATAAATCAGGAAATATTGATTATTAATCAAATTTGCCATGTTATCAGTAATAATTACTATTTATGTATAAAAACTTACTATTGCTTGAATGAAGCTTGCTATTACTTGAAGTAAAATAGTACATGCATTTGCTTGCCTTTTGCTTTGGCTAATTATAAAATTAGACATAATTGTAGAAACCTCCTATAGGTTTTGACATAGTCATACGGTCTTCTCTAACATTTACAAAACTATACAAAACTCCAAAGACTCTAAGATTTATATTACAAATTTAATTCCAACAAAATTTACTAACATTAAAAAAATTACTTTACATGGGGGAGTGAATTGAAAAAATGGGAGTATAATAATATCCCTTAATTGTTTATTCCATAAATATCCCTTATACATGTATGTGAGTTGAATTTGTTTAATAATGGAAATAATTTTGGTGTAATGGGCCATTTTTTTGTGCAGTTGGAGCATATTTGGCCTGAATAAAGCTATTTCTAAGATTTTGCTTGAATACCTAAATTATTTGTGCTGTTGGCAGATTTACCTTTAATATAATAATAATAGTAATAGAATTACTATTATTATTCGCTAGCAAAGCACAACATTATTTCCTTTCCCTTCTATATTCTCTGTTTATGCAGCACTTCCCCACGACATTTCTCTACTTTTCATTGCTCTTTTATTCACAATGTTAATCCAAATGGATACGTGATTTTATTAATTTCAAATGGATAGCTGAATAAAACCAATTAATTAGTGGCTATTAAATGGACAAATTTCGACTACCTATTTATAATTAATTCAATTAGACGTAAATTCAAATTCATTAGTAAGCAAATGAATTTGAATTCGTATACACAATAATTATATCAAAGTTTTTGCAAAGCCATATCTATCCAGTGTTTCCTATTCTTTAATTTTCATTTATTAAAAGTTTTGGAAACAAAATTGGTTTTCATTTATTAAAAGTTTTGGAAACAAAATTGATTACAGTAAAACAAACTGCCAACTATTTATTAAACACTCATGTGAAAGTAATTTAAAAATTGGTTACCTTTGTCTGCTTGACATTTAAACCAATTTTTTTATCATAATTTTTTATTATTATCACACCCATTCGGTGTGTCATAACCAGTGCTCAGAATAATCTCTGAAGTTTTAAGAACCATTATACAACTTTCAAAACAAATAAATTCATTCAAAATTTTTATTTGGAATAATTTCATAAATCAAATCGCGGTCACTTTCTGTAAAGTATCACTTTTTCATAAAAGACCAGCTCTTTATGGCTTTCATCCATTATAAGAACAGAGTACCCATTTTTCCATAAATAAATTTATTTATCGGATAAAATAAAAAATAAACTTGTTTTTCATTTCAATAAAACACCAGCTCTTTATGACTTTCCGCTATTATAAGAACAGAGTACCCTTTTTTCATAAACAAATTTATTTATCGAATAAAATAAAAATAAATTCATTTTTTAATAAAAGACCAACTCTTTATGGTTTTCCTCCATTATAAAAACTGAGTACCCATTTTTTCATAAATAAATTTATTTATCGGATAAAATAAAAAATAAACTTGTTTTTCAATAAAACACCAGCTCTTTATGACTTTCCTCTATTATAAGAACAGAGTACCATTTTTTTCATAAACAAATTTATTTATCGAATAAAATAAAAATAAATTTATTTTTTAATAAAAAACCAACTCTTTATGGCTTTCCTCCATTATAAAAATAGAGTACAACACGTTTTTCAACAAAACACCAACTCTTTATGACTTTTCTCCATTATAAGAACAGAGTATCCATTTTTTAATAAATAAATTTATTTATCAAATAAAAAAATAAATTTATTTTTTAATAAAAAACCAGCTTTTTATGGCTTTCCTCCATTATAAGAACAGAGTACCCATTTTCTCATAAACAAAATTATTTATCGAATAAAATAAAAATAAATCCATTTTTCAATAAAATACCAACTCTTTATGACTTTCCTTCATTATAAGAACAGAGTACCCATTTTTTCATAAATAAATTTGTTTATCGGATTAAATAAAAATAAATCCGTTCTTCAATAAAACATCAGTTCTTTAATAAAACACCAGTTAGCGACAACAACTTTAGCAAGAAGTAGAAAGTTTGACGCTATTAAGAGGCTTATAGCAAGGAAAAGGACAATACCTCACAAAAAATTGGAGCCATTATATACTCTGCGAGGCAAGGACTTTTATCGCTTAAAATTCTCGCCAAAATGAGTGTGGGAAAGCTTCCCTCCAAATACTGATTTTAGTGGGCCAAAGTTTCTATGTTATTGGTGAGAAATCATGGGTGTTTTTTTTGTGAAAATTTCAAAATTTTGCTCCCTTCCAAATTTTAGCAAGCCGCGCATTGAAAATTTTTTAACCATTCCCGGCACAGTACTTGTCAAGCGTAGCACCACATGAATTCCAAGCCTTCCATACTTGCAAGGCTACTTTCCCAAATATTAGTTCTCAGATCAGAGCCCTCGAAAGTTTAATCGCAACCTCCCCTACAACTTTCTCCTTCTATCTCTCTTTCCCTCTCTATTAATTTTTAGTTTCCCGTAGACATATGGTTCCTCTTTTCCTCTCTAGCATCTAGATCTGAATTTATACAATCATAGACACACTTTAAAGACCCTTCCGATGCAATGGCAGACTTCAAGGAAAAGCGATGGTGTAGGTTTTTTAAGCAGACATGTTATTTTCATCTCTGTTTTGTCAATTGCCTTTTTCTTGCATTTTTGGTCAATTTAGCAATCGCAAGATAAACTTTTTGAAATTGTAGGCTTCTACTTCAGTGGATTAGAGTGAATGGGCATCTCAGTTGGAGTAGAGAAAGGGGTCTTTACTCTTATTATACATTAGCTGATATCTTTAGTTTATGGTTTCATGTCCAATGTTTGTCAGTTAGTTGACAAAAGTCTTTAATAATGGTAGCATTGTCCCTTTTTTTGTACATAGTATAATATCTATGCTATTTGCTTTCACATTTCAGGTTACTAGCGCTTTAGGAGTGTATCATACACTACTTTCAGTATGCCATTCCTAGATGTTTTATTTCAGCATGCTAGACGTTTTAGCTTCGGTGTTCAAGTATAGTGTTTTGCTGCTGTATTTGTTTATATTTGTGTTTCTGAGTGAACTTCATTTATCTAATGCTATCTGTGTACAGGTTAACTTCTTAAGCCAAGTTCGTTTAAGTCACGAGGGAGATGGGCCGAAAGTGGCAAAGCGTTTAATCGAGGTGTATTTTGCACTATTTAAGGTATGGAAAAAAAAGTGTTGTGCTTGTTTTCTTTGATGAAAGTTAAGGATTTCAAAGATCTAGTCAATTAACATGTAAGACACGTTAGTTTTGTGCAACAAGTTAATATGCTAGTCTCTGTTTCAGGTATTGATTTCTGATGCCAATAGGGAGCATGGGACGAACAAATGCAGTAAAGAAAAAGCTAGAAAAATTTCTAGTTCAAAATGTAATCCAAAGAATGCTCCTCCAGAATCTCATGTTGAGATGGATTCCCGGTTATTAACAGCTCTTTTAACAGTTAGTATAGATTAATTTCTTTCGCTTCTTTATTATTTGATGATTGCAAACATATAAGTAGAAGAAACTGCTAAAGTAGGATTTGTATTTTTTTCTGGGATCATGTAGCATCAGCTAGAAGTTCCAAGGCCATTTTATCTTTTGAAAGCGATAGAGTAAGAAAATGCTAATATTTGTGGTAAGCTATTGTACAAATTTAGGCGTACTCTTTATAAATGCTTCTAATTTTTGGCACTTACCATGTAATTATCTTATGTAGAATTCTGGCACTGTTTCTTGTTTTTCCCTCCCTATACACCTTGCTTCAACTAAGTTGCCTTAGATTAGTTCAAAGACAGTGAATGTTTTGCAGGTTACTCCTAACTAATGTTTTGCTCTTTCTCAAGTATGAAGAAAAAGATTGTACACTTTATTTAGTATATGTTTGTTATGAAGAATCAACTTTTCTCTATATAATTTTTTTTGAACTAATTCTTCCAAGTTGGTGCTGTGTTTTGTGACTAAAGGATCCAACTTGAAAGTGAATTGAAGTAGTTGGGAAAGTGTTATTGAGAATTGGTGATGAAGCATGCACTAAATTAAACATACTTGTGTGTTAAAATGTGGGTGTGATTAATCAAGTGGTACAGGATTTGTCTGAACCAGTGTGCTTGCAGATAATTATTATATCAGTTCATCATGCTGCTTGTGGTTATCTCCTTATATAGTGTTGAAAGATACTTTAGGCACCCTGTATAAGTTCTCTTTCTTCCATTGCAGGGTGTGAATAGAGCGTTTCCTTTTGTTTCTAGCGATGAATCTGACAAGATTATTGAAACCCAGACGCCAATCTTATTTCAGCTGGTAAGCTTAGTTCCTAATTGCCCAGAAAGAATGAAAATTTTATGCAGATAGTATAATGTGGTGTTCCTCCTTTCAAAAATTTGTTTGCCCTTTTTTAGGTTCATTCTAGGAGCTTTAATGTGGGAGTTCAAGCATTAATGCTTCTTGACAAGATCTCTACCAGAAATCAAATTGTTAGTGATAGATTCTACCGAGCCTTATATTCAAAACTCTTGCTACCAGCTGCCATGAACTCTTCAAAGGTGAGTTGAGTTGTAGTAGTTCTTAGAAAGTTTCTGCCAGTTTATTTGTTATGTTTGTGTTTCAACGCTTTCTGAAGTGATGCTTTTGTGGTGTGTCAAGTTTACTATGATTCGTCAATGTTCCAATTGTTTAAACCATTTAGACGTGAAATGACATGAGATGAGAAAGCAAAATGATGGGTATGCTGTTTTGTTTAATTGTTCTAAATGTCTGACTTTTCAGACTGATAGTCTTCCCGCTCACACATTCTGTGATGAACAGTAAAATTGCTTAATGCATGTGGTCTGATTATTGATACGGATTTCTATGAGAGCTTATATGGAGAATTTTTGTCAAAAGGCTTCCAAGAGAATGCATTGTGTACAGGGCAAAGGAACTAGTAGTTGCAGCACCTAGGAACAGTTATTTGAATTCCACTTTCCAACTGGTCATGCTAATGAATTGTTTGTAGAGTATGATTGCATGTACCTGAGCACAAATACTACACTGGACATTGTTTCTAAATGTAAACTATTGCTGTCTTTTATAGTTTCCCGCCTCCCCTCCAGTATCAGATATTGTATCTGATTAATGGACTTTTCCCTTGGACATAAAAACTGAATTCTTGTTGTCTTTTCTTCTATTGGCTTGGTGCTGCTGTTCTATCTTCTATTGAAATGCAAGCTTGCAAATCAACCTGTTTTGGATTCTTATTTGACAATTTGCCTTACAAGTTTTGTGTTTTCTAGTTCCACTTCTATCTGGAACATAATTTCAGCATGATCAAGTGGCTTTTTGAAAATTTTTCCTCACTTGCTCTTGAATGCTTTCTTTATTCGTGTAGACTTATTAGAGAGGGTCCTAATTGTACCACTTCTTGACTATGATATTTGTTCAATTTGTTAATCTTCAAGAGGAAATATTTATTGGGCTACTTCTAAGGGCGATGAAAAATGACATCAATCTAAGGAGGGTCGCTGCTTTCTCTAAGCGTTTGTTACAGGTTTGTGATAGCGTTGATCTTTTGTTTGCTTGTGGTTTTTTACGCAATTTAGTTCATTAAGTTAATAATTGTCAAGGGAATCCTTGATCTCGAGGAATCTTAACTTGAGAACTATTTGGAAATTTAGTTCATTAAGTTAATATTTGTGTTAAAGGAAACAGCCTTGGCGTTACTTTATAATTGGTTTCATGTCAATTGGGGTCATAATGATTTCTTCATCTTAAGTACATGCTACCAACTTATAGTTTGAAATTCAGTTCACATTTTGTACTTGTGGTTAATAAAAGTGATCCTTAGCATTTCTTTTAAAGTCCCTCATTTTCATTTCTTTTCATGCAACAATATGAGGATCAATGTCTTAGTTGATATATGTAGGCTAATGCAGGTTTAATTTATCTAACTGCCAATGTAAATTTTTGTTTAATAATTTTTTTTACATTGGACTCTATAGGTTGATGGTGGATTGTAGTAAACCTGGCTATGAAGCTCTTAGAAGCTACTTCGATTATGGACTTCACCAATTCATGCAAACATGATACTCATTATATATCGGCAGAGGGTCTATCTTAACATTTGTTATCCCTGGCAATTTTGGTTGTACATATTAAAGCCTAATTAGGATTTGATTTGAGTATCTTTGTGCTTTGTACTGTTGATAGTATTGGTTGTAATATATTGTTGCTCGTTTTGTATTTGTAATGATAAATTGGTTTGTTATTTCGTATAAAATTTTGCTATATTTCAATATTGACATTAATGATACCTCTTGCTAAAAAAATGGTTGAAAAAAAAAGTAGCAACTACAATCACAAAGCTGCTTTTGGCAACTTTCTTGCAAGAAAATCATCTAGCTGCATTTGATTGTCTTTGGTAAGGGGTCGATGGTTTCTAATTAGAGAAGAAACTTTCCTGGCCAAAAATGTTTTATTATAATGGAGAAAAGTCATAAAGAGCTGGTGTTTTATTGAAAAAATGGATTTATTTTTATTTTATCTGATAAATATATTTGTTTATGGAAAAATGGGTACTCTGTTCTTAAAATGGAGGAAAGTCATAAAGAGCTGGTATTTTATTGAAAAACGAGTTTATTTTTATTTTATCCGATAAATAAATTTATTTATGAAAAAATTGGTACTTTGTTCTTATAATAGAGGAAAGCCATAAAAGACTGGTCTTTTATTGAAAAATAGATTTATTTTTATTTTATCTGATAAATAAATTTATTTATGAGAAAATGGGTACTCTGTTCTTATAGTGGAGGAAAGCCATAAAGAGCTAGTCTTTTACGGGAAAGTGATACTTTACAGAAAGTGACCGCGATTTGGTTTATGAAATAATCCCAAATAAAAATTTAGAATGAATTTATTTGTTTTGAAAGTTGTATAATGGTCATTAAAACTCCAGAGATTGACAAAAAAATTTTGGGGGTACAGAAAAGTAGAGAGAAGAAGGAGAAGAATTGAGCTTTTTATCCGTTGCAATTGTTCCGTTAAAAATGGCTCCATTCGATTTTATCAATTTTTTGTTGAGTAAAATCATTGTTCTAACGATCAATTCTTCATTTCTCGTTAATTGTCCTTAATTGGCCAAAATTACGAAATTTTGAGGATGCAATATGTTTGGGGTGAAACTTTGAGGATGAAATTGGTCAACAACCCAAATTTTGAGGATAAAAAAGTGCATTTTTTCCTATAAGATATTTAATCAAATGTTATTTCTTGTTTTAATTTTAGTTATGACTAAACTACATATTTATCAAATAGACATACCTTTATAATTAAAGTTAATATTTGATATTTTAGGATACCATATATTTAAATAGATGAAAATTATTTTGAACATAATATATTAAAATAATTTTATTTGTCAATCATTTTGGCCCTCCCTTAAAGGAAAAAAATCTTGGCTTCGTCACTGTCTAGGAGGAAATTGGGGCCTATTGCTAACAAAAGATTGTGAAAATTTACCTTTATATCCTAATTATTTGAAAAAAAATCTAATGAACAAATTTTGCAAAAGAAACCTTGTTTCTTACCAACAAATTAAGTAACTAATAAAATCACCTTTAATATTGCTTTAACATATTTAATTTATGTTAAATACAAATTTTACCAATTTCTCTTTTGTAAAAATATAAGTGTATCACTTTTTCAATTTTAATTACAAACATTTATGTTTTTTACATAAATGTAGTGATTCAGAGTAAAATGCCCATAAATAGCTAGTATTTTGTTGATGTAATGCAAAAAATCCATAAAGAGTTGGTATGTTATGGGCGCAATCTTTTTTACTTTCACATATTTAAAATTTGTTAAATGCAAAATCTACTAGTTTTCCTTTCGTAAAAATATAAGTATAATACTTTTTTAATTTTATTTACAAATATTTATGTATTTTACATAAATGTAATGATTCAGAATAAAATACCCATAAATAGTTAGTATTTTGTTGATGTAATGCAAAAAACTCATAAAGAGTTGGTATGTTATGGGCAAAACTTTTTTACTTTCACATATTTAAAATTTATTAAATACAAAATTTACTAGTTTCCCTTTCGTAAAAATATTAGTGTAACATTTTTTCAATTTTAGTTACAAATATTTATGTATTTTACATAAATGTAATGATTCAGAATAAAATACCCGTAAATAGCTAGTGTTTTGTTGATGTAATGCAAAAGAAAAAATCATAAAGAATAGGTATGTTATGGGCAATATATTTTTTACTTTCATAAAAATCAGTTTATGTTAAATACAGGACAACCAATTTTTCTTTTGTAAAAATATTAGTGTAACAGTTCTTCAATTTTAGTTACACATATTTATGTATTTTACATAAATATAATGATTCAGAGTAAAATGTCCATAAATAGATAGTATTTTGTTGATGTAATGCACGTAAATAGATAGTACTGCTTATGCTTCCTTTGCGGTGTTTTATTCGTAGGCCCATTATATTTATGTTAATTCCATCACACCCCAATACATTTCCAACTTTTGCAGTACGCTACATTCACATTTCTAAACCGCGGTTATAGGTCACCACTTAATTTTTTAGAAACATTCCCTTCATCTTCGTACATGTCAGGTTGCTACGTGCCAGCTTCTTTATCATATAATTTACTTTCCACACCTGTCTTTGGAATATGTGAATACACTACAGAATTTACCCTAATTGACGGTAAATTCTGTAGTGTAATAGGATATTTGAAGACAGGTGTGGAAAGTAAAGTATATGGCAAAGAAGGTGGCACGTTGCAACCTGACATGTATGGACCAAGAAGGGAATATTTGTACAAAAGCAAGTGGAAACCTATAACCGGGGTTTGGAAATATTGTGTACTGCATAAGCTCAAAATGTGTTGGGGTGTCACGGAATTAACATAAATATAAAGGGTCTAAAAATAAAACATTTGTGAGGAAGCGTAAGCAGTACTAGTTACTAAACAAAGCCATCGTGGGGCCACCAAAGAGGAAACGTATTACATACTAAAGGAAAACTAGTAAATTTTATATTTAAAAAATTTTAAATATGTGAAAGTAAAAAATTTTTGCCCATAACATACCAACTCTTTATGAGTTTTTTGCATTACATCAACAAAATACTAACTATTTATGGGTATTTTACTCTGAATCATTACATTTATGTAAAATACATATATGTTTGTAACTAAAATTGAAAAAGTATTATACTTATACTTTTACGAAAGGAAAACTAGTAGATTTTGCATTTAACAAATTTTAAATATTTGAAAGTAAAAAAGATTGCGCCCATAATATACCAGCTCTTTATGGATTTTTTTGCATTACATCAACAAAATACTAGCTATTTATGGGCATTTTACTCTGAATCACTACATTTACATAAAATACATAAATATTTGTAACTAAAATTGAAAAAGTAATATACTTATATTTTTACAAAAGAGAAACTGGTAAAATTTGTATTTAACATAAATTAAATATGTTAAAGCAATATTAAAGGTGATTTTATTAGTAACTTAATTTGTTGGTAAGAAACAAGGTTTCTTTTGCAAAATTTGTTCATTAGATTTTTTTTCAAATAATTAGGATATAAAGGTAAATTTTCACAATCTTTTGTTAGCAATAGACCCCAATTTCCTCCTAGGCAGTGACGAAACCAAGATTTTTTCCTTGAAGGGAGGGCCAAAATGATTGATAAATAAAATTATTTTAATATGTTATGTTCAAAATAATTTTCATCTATTTAAATATATGGCATCCTAAAATATCAAATATTAACTTTAATTATAAAGGTATGCCTATTTAATAAATATGTAGTATAGTCATAACTAAAATTAAGACAAGAAATAACATTTGATTAAATATCTTATATGAAAAAATGCACTTTTCATCCTCAAAGTTTGGGTGGTTGGCCAATTTCATCCTCAAAGTTTCACCCCAAACATATTGCATCCTCAAAGTTTCATAATTTTGGCCAATTAAGGACAATTGACGGGAAATGAAGAATTAATCGTTAGAACCAACGATTTTACCCAACAAAAAATGGGTAAAACCGAATAGAGCCATTTTTAACGGAACAATTGCAACGGACAAAAAACTCAATTCTTCTCCTTCTTCGCTCTGCCTTTCTGTAACCCCAAAATTTTTTTGCCAATCTTTGAAATTTTAACAACCGTTATACAAATTTCAAAACAAATAAATTCATTCTAAATTTTTATTTGGGATTATTTCATAAACCAAATCGCGGTCACTTTGTGTAAAGTATCACTTTCCCAAAAAAGACCAGTTCTTTATGGTTTTCCTCCATTATAAGAACAGAGTACCCATTTTTTCATAACTAAATTTATTTATCGAATAAAATAAAAATAAATTCATTTTCTAATAAAAAACCAGCTCTTTATGGCTTTTCTATATTATAAGAACAGAGTACCCATTTTTTCATAACTAAATTTATTTATCGAATAAAATAAAAATAAATCCATTTTCTAATAAAAGACCAACTCTTTATAGTTTTCCTCTATTATAAGAACAGAGTACCAATTTTCTCATAAATAAATTTATTTATCGGATAAAATAAAAATAAACCCATTTTTCAATAAAAGACCGGCTCTTTAAGGCTTTCCTCCATTATAAGAACAGAGTACCCATTTTTTCATAAACAAATTTATTTATCGGATAAAATAAAAATAAACCCGTTTTTTAATAAAAGACCGGCTCTTTAGGACTTTTCTCCATTTTAGGAACAGAGTACCCATTTTTTCATAAACAAATTTATTTATCAGATAAAATAAAAATAAACCCGTTTTTTCAATAAAATACCAGCTCTTTATGACTTTCCTCCATTATAAGAACAAAGTACCCATTTTGAAGGCAAAAAGAAATTTGTTTATCGGATAAAATAAAAATAAACTCATTTTTCAATAAAACATCAACTCTTTATGACATTTCTCCATTATAAGAAAAGAGTGCCCATTTTGTCATAAACAAGTAACTTCTTAATTAGAAACCATCGACCCCTTACCAAAGACGATCAAATGCAGCTAGATGATTTTTTTGCAAGAAAGTTGCCAAAAGCAGCTTTGTGACTGTAGTTGCTACTTTTTTTTTCAACCATTTTTTTAGCAAGAGGTATCATTAATGTCAATATTGAGATATAGCTAAAATTTTATATGAAATAACAAACCAATTTGTCATTACAAATACAAAACGAGCAACAATATATTACAACCAATACTATCAACAGTACAAAGCACAAAGATACTCAAATCAAATCCTAATTAGGCTTTAATATGTAGAACCAAAATGTCAGGGATAACAAATGCTAAGATAGACCCTGTGCCGATATACAATGAGTATCATGTTTGCATTAATTGGCGAAGTCCATAATCGAAGTAGCTTGTAAGAGCTTCATAGCCAGGTTTACTACAATCCACCATCAACCTACAGAGTCCAATGGAAAAAAAATTATTAAACAGAAATTTACATTGGTAGTTAGATAAATTAAACTTGCATTAGCCTACATATATCAAAGACGTTATGTTTTAATTGCTTTAAAAGATTCACTCACTTAGAGTTCAAGTCAACATTCATCTATTATTTTAGTAAATGGAAAATTAGCCTTTGGTTCCCCATGTGTGAGTTAACACAAGGAACCTCCTCTATAGTCGCGGGTTGCTTATAGCTTCCATCAATTCTTGTATTTCTTCTTCTGAAAGCTTGGATCCCAACCTAGATAACCTAGTTTTGAGCTCTTCATAAGTAATGGTACCACTTCTATCCCTGTCCATGTTGTTGAACATTTGTCTCAACCCCTTGATTTCTTCTTCTGAAAGGTTTTCTGCAATAACCTTCCAGTAATTTCATGTTTCAGCTATCAATAACTCTAGAAAGAGGAATCATAAAGCAACAGTAGAAGGGAAAGTACTCTTATGAATGACTGTCAAATGTATTCACTAGTTCATTATGGAAACCGCGCTGTCCAAAGAAATTTACATATCGATTCATTACCTTTAAAGCCAGCTTTTTCAGCTTGTTCATTGCTCTAAATTGCTTCATCCTTATTTGCACAACACTGTCAATAGGCGTATCTGATGCTTCACCACCTTCCTTGAGCCATTGATGTTCTGGTTCATATATGTTTAGCCAAATTTAGATGATAATCTGAATTATAGGTATGCAATTATTTGGAGGATGTAAACATTATATACTATTTTCTTTCCAAGAAGCGCAATACAGACAGTGTTAACTACTGCCACTACATGGAGTGTTATATTCCATACGCTATTTACTCTCTGTACAATATATAATAGTTCCTTTACAGCAACAGGTAAACAGAGCCAAATGACTTGAGAAGGATAGAAAATAATAATATTGAAGGTTAAAAGTTTTTACTATTTACCAAGGGCTTCGGCAGAGGTGATCCTTTTCCGAGGATCCATTGTTAACATTTTCCTAACAAGATCCTTTGCACCAGACGATATTGAAGGCCAGGGAGAGCTTTGGAAATCAAGACGCCCCGCTAGGATTTCATCAAAAATGCCTTTGTCGTTCTCTGAAGCACAAGCCAATATCACTCAGTATAGCAACTTAAAAGCTAAATAGCAAAAATTAATTCCCAGTGCTAGAATTTAATTCATTCTTCATTGCAGCGTAAGAGAATTAGGGAGTTTGGGACAACAAAAGGGGGTTTGGGACAACAAAAGGGGACAATTTGGGTTGGGCAACGAGAGGTACGGAGGAATGAAAACGAGAGTGGTAAAGAGAGGAGATTGAACAATACAACAAAACAGGGAAAAAATCAAATCATGGAAGGAAGAATTCTAGTATGAAAATATGTTGGAGACTACCTGAAATCTTAGATCTGAAATTTTGACGGGCCGTTTTCATTTTACCTTCCAGTAAGACCCCCTTCTCTACTCCAACTGAGATGCCCATTCACTCTAATCCACTGAGGTAGAAGCCTACAATTTTAAAAAGTTTATCTTGCGATTGTTAAATTGACCAAAAATGCAAGAAACAAGCAATTGATAAAACAGAGATGAAAATAACATATCTGCTTAAAAAACTTGCACCATCGCTTTTCCTTGAAGTTTGCCATTGCATCGGAAGGGTCTTTAAAGTGTGTCCATGATTGTATAAATTGAGATCTGGATGCTAGAGAGGAAGAGAGGAACCATATGTCTACGGGAAACTGAAAATTGATAGAGATGGAAAGAGAGATAAAAGGAGAAAGGTGAAGGGGAGGTTGCGATTGAACTTTCGAGGGCTCTGATCTGAGAACAATATTTGGGAAAGTAGCCTTGCAAGTATGGAAGACTTGGAATTCATGTGGTGCTACGGTTGACAAGTGCTGTGCCGGGAATGATTAAAAAATTTTCAATGCGCGGCTCTGCTAAAAATTGGAAATGAGCAAAATTTTGAAATTTTCACAAAAAAACACCCATGATTTCTCACCAATAACATAGAAACTTTGGCCCACTAGAATCAGTATTTGGAGGGAAGCTTTCCCGTACTTCTTTTGGCGAGAATTTTAACCGAAAAAAGTCCTTGCCCTCGCAGAGTATATGATGGCTCCAATTTTTGGTGAAGTATTGTCCTTTTCCTTGCTATAAGCCTCTTAATAGCGTCAACCTTTCTACTTCTTGCTAAAGTTGTTGTCACTAATACCCTTTTTTGTTGTAGTGAACGGAGGAAAATTATAAAGAATTGGTGTTTTATTGAAAAATATATTTATTTTTTCATCCAATAAATAAATTTATTTATGAAAAAATGGGTACTTTGTTCTTCTAATAGAGGAAAACTATAAAGAGTTGGTGTTTTATTGAAAAAACGGGTTCATTTTCATTTTATTCGATAAATAATATTTTTTTAAAAAAATGGGTACTATATTCTTATAATGGAGGAAAGTCATAAAGAACTAGTTTTTTATTGAAAAAAGAGTTTATTTTTATTTTATTTGATAAACAAATTTGTTTATGGCAAAATGAATACTCTTTTCTTATAAGGGAAGAAAGCCATAAAGAGCTGATTTTTATTGAGAAACGGGCTTATTTTTATTTTTTCGATAAATAAATTTTTTTATTCGATAAATAAATTTGTTTATGGCAAAATTGGTGCACAGTTCTTATAATAGAGGAAAGGCATAAAGAGTTAGAATTTTATTGAAAAACGGGTTTATTTTTATTTTATCCGATAAATAATTTTTTTTTAGGAAAATGGGTACTTTGTTCTTATAATGGAGGAAAGCGATAAAGAGTTGATTTTTTTATTGAAAAACGGGTTTATTACAATTTTATTCCAGCCAACTGTGACCCATTTTCCCACTAACCTAAGGTAGACGGACTAAATCATTGAGTTCGTTAACCAGAGTCAAAATTAACACAGAAGCAACTGACTCAAATCACTCAATCCTTTATGGCTTATACCAAATTAATACTAGAAAGCTTATTTGAAATAACAATAAAATATTTTATAAATGATTAAAACTTAGTACATTAGTTAGTAAGTACTCGTAACATACTTGTATAATGCATGATTATATGTATAATTTAATATTCTTTTGTACTCATATATTTTAAAATATTCTGTGAAAAATATTTTAACCTTTCACATGACCTTAGAAAATAATAAAATTTTATCGTATTATAAAATAATAATTTTATTTTATTATATTCATAGGTGTTAAATTATAAAAATTGTGATATAGAAACAAGTGATATTCTACGTGTAACTAGGAAAATTTGTTGTTATTGTTATCCAAACTTTCAAACTTTTCAAAAATTGAAAATGAATACAAACTTATGATAAGACAAAATTTTATTATATATTTTACAAGGTTACTTTTCATAGTATTTTAAAATATATAAATACAAAAAATATTAAATTATACCTATAATCATTTATTATACAGGTATATTATGAGTACTTACTAACTAAGATTTATCCCCACATTTGTATAGTTTGTTGTGACAATCAGGTTTATCCCCATATTTGTTTGAGCTTTGATTACAATGGATATAAGCTATTCCCTCCAAACCCCAAATTTTGAATTATAACATTCAACCAAAACATGTTCAAACTCTCAGGCTCGGTCGTACAAGGACAGTTAGTGTGAATATCCGTACTACACACGGTGCTTACATTATTAAAATAAATCAAAAGATTATACCATTTTAATTTGAAAAAAGTTAAAAAAAATTATACCAACTTAATTAAAATTTAAGATTTGTCTAACAATAGTTCAAAGTATGAAAAAAACTGTAAATCATTCAAGAATTGTGTTTTTGTAAAAGATGGATCTTAAAATAATAATAATAATTTGCATTAGAAAATGAATGATATATGGATAGAAATAAATGTAATTGCATGTTTTTTTATTTAAAAATGAAATACTTACCAATATTATGCATTCGATTTGATAATCTTATATATATATGCATTATGAGAATATATATATATGTATATGTGTGTGTGTGTGTGTGTGAATTAACTACCTTTGAATTAATTTTTATTAAAAAAATTATTTATTTTTAATGCCTTTATAATTTGTGAATGATTCTGAGAGTAAAATATATTATGACAATAAGATACGTTGAATTGTGAAAATTGTAATTTAAACAGGCTCCTAAATTTTGGATATTTGACTTTCGTAGTTACGAATTTCTTAAATTAACGGTTAGTTATTACTCTAAGTGATATGATAAGTGTCAGTAATAAATGTGAGATGTGAATTGGAATTTGCAGATATCATTTTACAGGGGTGGTTATTATCCGTTAATTAAAGTTTAGGAGTTTGAATTTTATGGGGTAGTGGAAAAAACATGAGGGAAATGTGGAAAAAATATAAGCATGATTATAGGATTTGTAGGGCCGGTTACATGATTAGTTAAGAGATAAATATGTTTTAATTATAAAAATGTAAAATTCTATTAAAATAGCATTGAGACTTTTGATAATTTTGGAAGCTCCTTATCCAAAACCCCCTCAGCAATACATATAGATATAGATACTAAACGATAGTTATGATAGCGAAATAGTTTTTACCTGATATAACATGTTGTTGCACTTTTAGCGATCATTTGATTTATTGTTGGACCTATTCACCTAAATAAAATAACACCTAAAATTATGGAAGTAAGTTTCCTATCTAAAATAGTAAGTTAAGTGTAATAGATTAGTAACTTTTATACCTCAAAAGGCAAATTGGAATAAATATTAAACTTAATTTTTAAATAAATAGATTACTACATGATATCCCAAACTTACTTTTAAAAGAGTAAGTTTAGTTCAAATAACAGTAAGTTTTTATACATAAATAGTAATTCTTACTAATAACATGGCAATAAAAATGATTAAGGATCAAAATTTACCATTTTTTGGAATGCATGTACAATTTTTACATTAAAACCGTATCTCAAAGTAGTATTAGGAAGTTTATTTGAAATAATGATAAGATGTTTTTATTAATGATTCAAACTTAGTACCTTAGTTAGTAAGCACTCATAATATACCTTAGTAAGTTTAATTCAAGTAATAGTAAGTTTTTATACATAAATAGTAATTATTACTGATAACATGGCAAATTTGATTAATAATTAAGATTTATTGATTTATGGGACGCATGTACTATTTTACTTTAAAACTTATCTCAAACTAGTATTAGGAAGTTTATTTGAAATAACGATAAGATGTTTGATCAATGATTAAAGCTTAGTACCTTAGTCAGTAAGTACTTATAATATACTCGTATAATACATGATTATAGGTATAATTTAAAATTTTTTGTACTTATATATTTTAAAATACTATGAAAAATAGTATGAACTAAAGCTACTCTCCAAAAAGTAAATTTCGGATATGCAGTAGTAATTTATTTTTAAAAAATTTAAGTTGCATATTTATTTCAATTTACACTTGAACATACATCGATCGGTGCTCTCTGGATACGTCCAAACTCCAGTGAATGTCTTTAAACTAAATTCTAATCAAAGTAGTATCCAAAATGTAATGATTCAGAGTAAAATGCCCATAAAACTTAGTACAAGGATAGCTAGTGTGAATATCCGTGCTATCCAAAATATTTATGTATTTTACATAAATGTAATGATTCAGAGTAAAATGCCCATAAATAGATAATATTTTGTTAATGTAATGCCCATAATCGGTGGCCCTAGGATGGCTTTGTTTAGTAATTAGTACTGCTTACGCTTCCTCACAAATGTTTTATTCTTAGGCCCTTTATATTTATGTTAATTCCGTGACATCCCAACACATTTTGAGCTTATGCAGTACACAATATTTCCAAACCCGGTTATAGGTCTCCACTTGCTTTTGTACAAATATTCCCTTCTTAGTCTATACATGTCAGGTTGCAACGTGCCACCTTCTTTGCCATATGCTTTACTTTCCACACCTCTTCTTTGACTACTAAACATACTGCAGCAACATCCTTGATACATTACCTTTAGTTTCTTTTCTCCATCTGTCAGATGTTTCTTTTTCTTTTGACTTTTAGCTCTAGCTCTGGACAATTTGGGAGTAGCTTTTGATTGCTATCCTGGGAAGACGACCTGAAGTTTTCCATTTTTGTTCCTTTTGTTTCGTACGCCTTTTGTGAGACCTGGGCTTATACCTTTTGCTTGGGTACAAACACGAAGCAAAGTGAAACGAGACTTTTTCCTCGGTTTCTTCGTTATTCTGTGTCCCCCAAATTCTTGGTAATTAATTGGATGATATCGATTAAACCACGTGAGATTGATATGATGAGGAGTGGTTAGACTTCTCCTCTATCCAAAGGTCAACGCGAGGGCGCGGTCCATAACATCTGTGACATCTAATCAAACTTTCATTATTTCTTCCAATTTGTTACTATTCGTGTGTTTCCTGGATTAATTGTTTATGGTTATTTTATTAGTTGAGTATCAACGGCGGGATATTTAATTTAATCTAATAGCCTACTATCACGTTAATTAAATTGAATCT